CCCCCCCCGAGAGCAACTGCTACCGGCAGGATCCTAAGGAACAGCCAGGCTGTGAGTGCTCCCAGGGCTAGGACAAAGCGGCTCCAGCAGTCCTTTCTCCACAGGGCCATAGCCCTATACAACAAAGAACTGTCACATGACTAGATTTATATTTCCTAAACCTCATCTGTATATAGTTTTTTTTTGCTTGGTACAAATTTTTTATGCATTATAGTGTATATGAGGGTTTGTATATACTGCTTGTCCTGCCTATTGTAACTTTTTTTTTGTTCTGTACGCAAACTCTTTAAATTCAGGGATTTCCATCCCTGCTGCAAGGTTTGCTTTTTGGTGTTGAAATAAATAATAAAACTGTAAAGACGCGATTTCAGGCCGTGAAAAAAACGGTCCCGCCCGCTATCCTCGCCAAGACAAGACCTATTACTCCAACTACAGCAACTACAGCAACTACGCGTAGTTAGAAAGGCTTTCTTATTATATACCCATCCTCAAGGCGGTGGACTGTAAGTACCTATCGGCACAGAAGCCATGTCAGACCGTCCAAAAAGACGGTCCCGCCCGCTAGCCTCGCCATGTCAAGGCGTATAATGCCAACTACACATCTACATCAACTACACGTAGTTAGAAAACCTCTCCGTGTCGACTCGACCTGCGTGAACCAGCACTCAGCCACGTTGGCCCGTGGATGAGCGCTGACCTGCCCGGTAGCCTTTTCGTGGGAAGGGTTTACTACAATGCAATGAGAATAGTGACTACGACCATTTCGTGATGCGGTAGTCGGATGTTACGTGTAAGACATCACACTCGCGGCCAGAGTAGGCACACATGTACCCGGCAGGAATGTCACACACGATCGGCTTGTGAGCTCACAAGGCCGCGAGACTATGGTTACGTGTCCTGGCGATTTCGTGATTTGGGTGACTGGTGATTCACATTCGATGTCACTGGTACGCACTGGTACGCACTGGTACGCACTGGTACGCACTGGTACGCACTGGGCGCACTGGTACGCACTGGGCGCAGTGGTACGCACTGGGCGCAGTGGTACCGGGCAGGCATGGCGAATACGATCGGGACGGTGAGCGCGAAGAATTCGAACCCCGCCCGCCTGGATGCTCGCCGCGCTAAATTCGTGATGTCTTACATGGAACATGTGCCAAACTTTCGTCTTCTCATTGCTTATTTTGGTATCACAGAAAGGCCATCTACATCTGGCATTACTACAATCCTTCAACCAAGGCAGGGGACGCCACAGACTGTCTACAACCTATGACACACTGCTCACCGAGTCATCTACATAATGTGATGTCGCAGAAGCCGTGGATTGCTCGTTCCCTGACAAAGACTGGAGTCGAAAATTTGGGTAAGTCGAATTTCTTGTGTTAGAAATTAAAGCCTAAGTTTGCTTCTTGAATAGATAAGATAGCAAGCCTCACCACAGACCGGTACGTCACACAGCTCCCAACGTTGTAAAGCATTCGTGGTGTAGCACCAAACTCCGGATTCCCCGTCCGGATTCCGGCAGTAGTTCTCCTCCAGTCCGGATGACGGGTAGTTATCAGGCGTCTTGTCGTGTGAATGTGGGAGCTGCCTGTCCCAGCGTTGACACGTCTTGCCTGTCCTGGTCACAGAGACCGTTTCTCGGTAGGATGCCCCATCCCCCACCTGGCAATATTCTGGTAGACAAAAAAAATACAGGTCAGTGGGAACATCGTAAAACAAACTGCTAGGAGGGGACCAAAACCACAACACTTGTTCCTGAGATGATAAGCTATCAGCCACCAAAAATCAGCTTTAGCCCGCCCAGGACAAAAGATACGAAAACTGGAAGTTCTGTTTCAGCACCAAGGACAGACACCAGATTTGACCTTGAAATTTGTCTTCCTACGACCTACCCACATACCAAATAGCTATAATATTTCTGCTTACCACACGTCTGTGGAAACACAGACATAAACACATACACAGACAAACCAAAACAATCCATTTTCATGTAGGTAACAAAGTCAACCTGTAAGATTTAATACAAAAAATGGGGCAAATTTTCAATTATCATACAGATGAGCAATCCACCAAATGAATGTACAACATCAAGTCCCACGACCTACCAAATTCACAGATGAAGGCAGCATCTGTCTTACAGCCCACGTCGTTCCACTTGTTTCTCTTGTCGTAGGGGACGTCGCTCGAGTTGTCGGGGAAGTACGCCGCACATCGCTGCTTTCCACCGGTCGGTTCTCCCTCGGCCCAGTTTTCCCATTCCATCGGCTGGGAACCGCGTGCGTATGTCCATGTTCCGTCATCAGAACGGGTCATCCCGAAGTAGAACAACTTCGTCTTGTCCGCGGCGTTCTTTAAAGCGACGAGGAAGTCGCTGGTGGCGCTGTCACCAGGCATGGCCAGAGTGGTCCCTTCCTCTCGGCAGGTCGCCAAAGCCTCCTCGTACTCACTCTCCGTGTCGTAGGCACGGTAACATCGGCGTGTGTGTGGGAGGTGCCAGTAGCCATTGGAACACTCTCCAACTGTGGTCAACATGTAAGGATATTTGCATAACCGTTGGTCCATTAATGTACTACTACCGCCCTGCTACCCTACAGCATAGGGGCTGTATAACCTTGTCAAAGTGTAGGAATTTGTTCATGTCTGGTGTTTTCAAACCGTACCTCTACTTACCTTCGCCAAGAAGGTTATGTTTTCAGAGGCGTTCGTGTGTGTGTGTGTGTGTGTGTGTGTGTGTGTGTGTGTGTGTCTGTGAACACGACAATTCGAGAAGACTTTAATGCCTTCATACTTGGTAGGTGGGTAGGTCTTGATGAGACCTAGAAATGATTAGATTTTGGGCCCCCTGGCGTGGTACTGTTGTGGTACTGCAGCGGAACTTCCGGTTTTAATATCTCATGATCTGGATGTGCTAGGGTCACGAAATTTGGATGGTAGGTAGCTCTTGTGTTGGGGAAGATGTGTAGGTTTGGGCCCCCTAGCGGCTTGCTCTGGAACTGCAGGGGCATTTCTTGAAAAATATTCAAAAGAGGATAACTCAAGAACCGGTTGACGGATCGTCGTGATTTTTAGTATGTAGGTAGCTCAAGTGATGCTTGACATAATTATCCGACAATTATGCAAATCTGGATGTAATTTGCATAATTCATGACGAAATTCTATAAATCAGCTGCATTACATTATAAGACTAAGCTTGTGACATATGTAATTGAGAACAAGAGAAACATAGGCAGATATTGATTATGTAAATTATCACTTGATTTGCATAATTAATGAGAAAATGTTATAATTCCATAATGTAACTGACTGGAATTTCATACTTGGGGTATTTGAAAGTTAAGTGAAGGTGAACATCATTAAACATAACATATTCAAATAAGGACCTCATTTGCATAATTTATGAGGTAATGATAGAATGGTTTTCTTGGTTAAAGCCATTCTGTCTGTCTTTTGGTGGAGAATATGATCAACTGATATAATTCGTGCAAATGAGGATCCTATTTGCATAACCAGGAGGGATAATCTTTACTTTGTCAGTCATAAAGATTAACATCATTTGGCGAAGGTATGAGATCGTGGAACTCTAGTTAGATTTCAGTCCATACCATGGTATGGATGAAATATATTGTGTTCTCTCATGTTTCTCCTCCTTCTCCTGCCAAACAGTCAAAGGGATTCAACTCCGCCATCATTCAGCCAAATGACTTGAAATTTGGCATGGAGGTAGAGTGGGCCAATACCCCCAGGCGTTTTTTTTCATTTTTTTGATACATGCCTTTGAAAAATTTTCATGAAGGTTTTTTGGGGCATTTTTCGCCAAAAAATGGATTTTTGGATCCTGAGCCCTGGTTTTACAACCAAATGATCTGAAATTTGGTATAAGGGTACCTTGAACATGTGTCTACAGAATAGCAGTCACATATTTGGCATACACCACTTCCAAATGACTCATTTGGGGGACTTTAATGGCTATTTTCAGCAAAAAAAGGGCCAAAAGTGCTATACCCGTTCCATGTTCTAGCTAAAGAATGGCCCGTCTGCCGTTGGCCATGGAACACGTGTTCCATTGCGGGTTACCTGGGGTCACATTGCATGTAAGTCGTGCGTAATGACCCACACATTCAATTTTATGTGCCTAAGACCTTCAAAATGTACCAAATCTCATCATTGTTAGTATTTGCATACCTGTAATAAGATTAGTAAAGCTTTTGAGATTCAATGTGCTTGTTCTTGCATCTTTGTTCTCAATTACATAGCTACTATATAATTCATTTATTTGAGAATCTTTGCCAGTTTTACACTGGGGTAAGTTTGGAATAGTTCACTTTTGCGCGGGAGGGAGATCGACTGAAATATGCTGTATTTGCTCCCAAGCAAATGTCGGCCTCTCTAGTTTTGTTGTTTTGTTTTCTTGACACAACAATGATGCCATAACCATGTTCAGTAAATGTGGCAAACGCCTACCTGTAATAACCTGGACTTCGCACAGTGTCAGGATTCGGGAGGGACCAGTCAGACGTACCCCCACATACCGTCCTGCCATCCACCGACACGGGATAACAATGGCCGGCTTCGTAATGTCGATTTGATGGTCACCTCCACACCTGGGGTTCGTGCTGACCTGGTCGGAATCCCCGATGTGGATGTTGAAGGGGTTGAGTCGTTCCGAACAACAGTCCATCCGGTTGACGATGACCACTCTGTAGATATTGTTAAAACAAATTATGGCAATTTAGTTTCATACACTTCAAGATGAACGTCGCAAAACACCATATAAAATCTGTAAACTCTGATAATTCACATGCAATGGTATAATTTGTTATGATTTAATTGTATTTGAATCTCTCTATAAATATGCAAATTCTTGTTTGACACATTCCCTTCAAGCACATCAATTTAAAAAGGAAAAAAAAACCGGTATGTTGATAGCTCTACATGTCAACATCACATCATTCTGTTGTAAATGGTCTTGTCGTTTTCTTTTTATTTGTAGGACCTTCATCTGAAAAAACTAATATGAAATCAAAATTTGGGTTTGTATACCAGCTACCATCAATATTTCAGTGTACATGTATATGTATTTTTGTCTTAAAGCACCCAGCCACAGATATGAAACTATAATAATGTCATATGACAATCATTATGTTGAATATTTCCTGCCGAAAATGGCTAAATGCCAAATTTTCCTCAGGGCTGGTTCTAATTCCCCCGCTAGGGCAGTGGTAAACAACATGGTTAGATGTAAAGACCATTGAATTACCAACTATTAAAGGATCACTGCGTACTACACAGTTAACGTGCATATTGTTAAGGTCTATACGTACCTGTCAATCAAATACGATCGGCCGAGGTCCACCCACCAGCTAGGATCAGCCTCCTCCTGTGTGAGTGTACAGGTCTGATTGCTGCCGTTCATGTAGGTGTAGGTGCTCCCGTCTACGGCAAGGCTGGCGACACCATCCGTCCCGTTATGGGTGCTTGTTTGGAACGCCGTCTTCCCCACAGCGACATTAATATCTACGCAAGACGAGAGATATCGTCAATAGAAGTATT